GATATTTTATGGCAGCCTAAGCAGAATAAGATGCTGGCAGAGGCCACTTTTCCTGCCTAGGAGATCCTTCCCTCACCTAGCAGGTTCCCATGCCTCTGGACCAGGCTGGAAAGACAGATAGCTCAGGCCATCTCCCCTCCACATCCCAACTGGAAGCCTCTGGGATTGAATTTAAAAAGGGGTAGGGGAGGAAGGGATGTGAGGACATTGTCTCCCCCTGCCCTTCCTGGGGCAAGTACACCCCTCTGTGAGACTCACAGTTGAACCTCCACCTCCCTCCCCCAAACACACCTCTCTTTGGAGTTCAAGTATAACTCACCAGCATTAGCATTAAAACAGAGATCATAAGACTGACAAAACAGGCTCTTCGTAACAAACAGCACAGTGGCTGTGTGACTCAAGCAAAGCCAGGCCCTCCCAGAGAATGTGAAATTCAGAGTTAGGGGCACCAGCCGTCGCCCTATGTCATGGATTGTAAGATGACTGAGGCCAGACCCTAGCTCCCTGGAGGCACCTGGGAGAACAAGGCCAGCCCACAGAGGCCAGGAATCAGGTGATGGACCTGCAGGCAAATACACTCACAGCACCATCTGCAGCTTCCCAGAGCTGGCCTCAAATTCCTCGTACCAGCTGCCTCAGGGTGTGCCGCCTGAGGGCAAATCTCAGAGTCAGACTGCCTGGCTTTAAATCCTAGCTCTGCCATGTTGGACATGTAAACCAAAAGTAAAATTCTAAGCCCCCTAATCAACTAAATGGACTCCTCTTCTCCACCAAGGGGATTCCAAATAAACCTGAAAAATTAGTTCCGGCCATGATGGGGAGAAGGGGTCAGACTGCCTCCTTATACCCCCTCCCTTTGGAATTCAAGCACAACTCAACATCGTTAACCTTAACAGAGATCATAAGACTGACGAAACAGGCTCTTTGTAGCAATAAGATACCAAATTCCAACCGACTCTAGTACAGCATCACATGACAGTGGGCCCTGAAAGAAAGAGAAGCATTTTACCCCAAAATCCTTTTTTTTTTTTTGGTGCTGTGACTTGGATCCCAAAATACATTTCTTTGGCATATTTTGAAATGGCCCTGCAAAGCTGTCTCTCGTGGGGAAAATCTGCATTCTGTAGAGAGTTCGCTTCCCTTTCCAGGTCTTTTCCTGATCTAGCAGAGATTAACCAAGAGTCTGACATCTTTTTAGGTCTGATAAGAAATATACTTACCATCTATTTCTCTGAAGCCTGCTACCTGGAGGCTTCACCTAGATAAGAACCTCGGTCTACACAATACCTTATCTTATCATTCTTTTCTATTGATTCCAGTTCATTAGACAATAACTGTTTCAACCAATTGCCAATCAGAAAATCTCTGAATCCGCCTATGATCTGGAAGCCCCTACCCACCCTTCTCTGCTTCCAGTTGTCTGTCCTTCCAGACTGAACTAATGTACACGTTGCATGTATGGATTGGTGTCTGTCTGCAGCTTCTGTCCCCCTGTTACCAGAAAGGGGTCCTGAACCAGACTGCAAGAGAGGGTTATTGGATCTCAAACAAGAAAGAATTCTAGGCGAATCCATAGGGTAAAGTGAAAGCAAGTATATTAGAGTAGTAAAGAAATAAAAGAATGGGGCCGGGCGTGGTGGCTCACGCCTGTAATCCAAGCACTTTGGAGGCCAAGGCGAGCGGATCACCTGAGGTCAGGAGTTCATGACCAGCCTGACCAACATGGTGAAACCCCATTAAAAAAAAAAAAAAAAAGAAAAGAAAAGAAATAAAAGAATGGGCCATGGGCCAGGCGCGGTGGCTTATACCTGTAATCCCAGCACTTTGGGAGGCTGAGGTGGGCGGATCACCTGAGGTCAGGAGTTCCAGACCAGCCTTACCAACATTGAGAAACCCCATCTCTACTAAAAATACAAAAAAACTTAGGCTGACGTGGTGGCATATACCTGTAATCCCAGCTACTCGGGAGGCTGAGGCAGAAGAATCGTTGAACCGGAGGTGGAGGTTGCGGTGAGTCAAGATTGCACCATTGTACTCCAGCCTGGGCAACAAGAGGGAAACTTCATGTGAAAAAAAAAAAAAGAAAGAAAGAGAAAGAAAAAAGAAATACAAGAATGGCTACTATGTAGGCAGAGCTGGCTAGCCACTTTTATGGTCATTTCCTGATTTTATGCTAAACAAGGGGCTGATTATTAATAGGTTTTCCAGGAAAGGGCTGGGGAATTCCTGGAACTGAGGGTTCCTCCCATTTTTAGATCACATAGGGCAACTTCCTGACTTTGCCATGACATTTGTAAACTGTCATGGCACGGGTAAGAGTGTCTTTCAGCATATTGATGCATTATAATTTGTGCATAATGAGCAGTGAAGATAAGCAGAGAACACTTTCGTCGCTGTCTTGGTTTTGGTGGGTTTTGGCCAGCTTCTTTATGGTATCCTTGTGTCAGCAAGGTCTTTGTGACCTGTACTTGTGCCAACCTCCTATCTCATCCTGTGACTTAGAATGCCTAACCTCCTAGGAATGCAGCCCAGTAGGTCTTAGCCTTATTTTACCAAGCACTTATTCAAGATGGAGTTGCTCTGGTTCAAATGCCTCTGACACCCCTAAAATTTATAAAAATCAAGCTGTAATCCAACCACCTTGGTCACGTGTTCTCGGGACCTCTTGAAACTGTGACTCAGGCCTTTGTCACTTATATTTGGCCCTGAATAAAATCTCTTCAAATATTTTACAGTTTGACCTTTTTTGTCAGCAGACTACTTAACTTCTTTGTCAGTTTCCTCATCTATAAAATGGGGATACTATTTGTTTCATGGAGTTGTTGGGAGGATTAATTGAGTTAATAAACTAGGAAGTCCTAAATAAGTCTTATTGAAATAATTAGGGAGCCACATGAAATGGAGCTAGAAATGGCTTCATTCATCCATGCCGGCAGAATTTGGGCCTGTGTGGGTCAGTGTGTGGTGCAATTCATTCTGCGGACAGTGGCACTAATGAGTAAGCCAAGTGCTCATGCCATTCCAGCTGCACCTTCACACGCTGCATTCTTCAGTCCTTATCTCACCAGGACTCATGCAGCCAGCTCATGCAGTCTCTGTCCAGCAGATGTGTTTTCATCACCTGGATGTCCCAGAATGGGAAAGGGGGTGGTAGGAGGCAAGGCTGGAGGAAGAAGGAAGAAGAGGGCTGAGGAGCTGAGCTGAGTCAGGGAAACAGACCATGACAATAAGGAAGACGGAAGTGCAGAGTTCCAAGGAAGACACAGAAGGCATCTGCACTACCACCCCTCCCCCTGACTTTGAGGCCTCTGAGAAGGTGGTGTCTAAGCTTAGGAAAACTTGAGAGTTAGCCAGCCAGAAAGGGGAGAGACATGGTCCCAAACACAAGAAATAGCACGAGTTGTGTTCTTTCTTTCTTCTTTCCTTCTTTCCCTTCCT